TGCCCGGCCAATGACGCATCGTGACTTGCAAATAAAAATAGAGGTTTGATAAGTAACAAAAAGATTGGGTGACCTATAAAAAATGATGGTTTGTATAAAAATATAAAAAAATATATAGGAATTGTGTGTTATGTATGTAATTCTTCCCTCTTCTTCTATGGTCTCGGGATGGAGCAGAGCGATCGGTTGGAGGGGAGTGACCGGATGGAGCGGCAAAGTGGTCGGGCGAAATGAGGTGGTCGGTCGGTCATTTGAGGTGACTAGACGGTGAAAAGGTATAGCCCGCTTGGAAGAAGCAAGTTTTAGTTTCTGTGTCGGCGTAAGGGGGTCACAATTTCTCAATTCAGTATGTGTTCTGATAATATATGATCAATTTACTTTCTCTCTCGACCTTGGCGTCTGGGCGTAGGAAGAATCCTCTATCTGTGATCCATGGTAAGGATCTACTTGTTGGAGGCGTTCCTAGGGAGGAACTAGATGCATCATCTGATCGTTATCGTTGGGCATGGATTCTTAGTACAGTCTTGGAAACTGATTCGATTAAAGGATTACCCATTGCAGAGGTGAAGTATTTCACTATGCTTAACTTTGTTTGTTTTTGTGATTATCTGCGGACACCTTTAGGCAGGAAGCACCGCACTGTTTAGTGTGAAGTTGGGGAAACGTGTCGTCAGACAACAACTGACCCTGGATGTGGCCGTCCTTGCGATTGCTCGTCCGCGACTTGGCGACCTTAGAGCTGCTAAAAAGGAGATATGAGCTGAATACATCGCTAAGATTGAATACTTGCATAGGCAGTTCTGCACCATGCGCAATGACGAAGCAGCGAAGATCCGTAGTGCTCAACGGAAATTCAAATCGTCGGGGCAGTATGTTGGTTTGTCCGATGTGGGGTTTTCTGGACGTTGTACAACAAGTTGAGTCAGGAGAATAGTGTTCTGATTCTCATCGTCACAAAGGACCTCATCCAGCGAGCTAGGCTTAAGTTTGGCTCCATCGTTCGAGATGCCCTTTTGGTGGATTTTATCAAATTTGGACATCATTCGGAGGTGTTGCGGTCCTCGATAGATAATCATATCAAGTACTTCTAGGATAGTTATGACGTAATGGCAGGCCAACCACTTCATCCGCCTTATGGCACTTGCTAGTGACGGAGCGTCTACTTTGGTACCCGCTTCAGCGAGGGTTTGAGAAACTCAATCCGGTTCTGACAGGGGAGTGTCCCGCTGAAGATGAATTATATTTTTTCAATACGAATATTTTAATTTAATTTTTATGAGTGCTGCATTTAAAAATGTATCTGATGTGAAAACCAATGCTAAGCAAACTTAAAAATTCTTAGCTAAATTTGAATATAATAAACATAATTAATATTATTTGTCATCTTCTATAATATACTAGTCAATTCAAACTCGTTGACTTAAGCTTGAGCATGAGTTCTTCTCTAAAGTATGAATAGTCATTTCTTACTGGTCATCTATCTGTCAGATGGTGAAGGGCCTTACTAAGGGTCATTGGGTTCGTCTCATTGAGTCAGTCAGTTTGACTATAAGTTTGCTGAAATTGGAACTCTGGATGACTCTTAATCGAAGTCTGAATATTTCTTCTCGAAAGATTGCCTCGAGATTGGTGTCGGAAGATGGAAGTTTGTTGGTTGTGTGTGTGTGTGTGTGTGTGTGTGTGTGTGTGTGTGTGTGTGTGTGTGTGTGTGTGTGTGTGTGTGTGTGTGTGTGTGTGTGTGTGTGTGTGTGTGTGTGTGTGTGTGTGTGTGTGTGTGTGTGTCACCCTTAATACAATATTTGATTCTATGTTGCCAGTACTTATTGCATTTATGAAGTGAGGAAGGCACCATTGGTACTCATAAAGCTAAGGTCTCCCAATCAGCAGGTTGAAGAATGTCTTGGAGTCAATGGTGTGAAATTTGGCTTTAGTTTGGAAATCCCTAATTTTGAGTAGGGCGGTTATGGAGCCTAGAGCTCTTTCACCATTTTCATTGAATTCATATAAAAACACCTAATTAAATGAGAGCTTTGATGTATCAATGTCAAGCTACACATGTGTTCACAAATTGATTATGTAATTGATGCACCCAGATCAATAAGAACTCTGGACAATTAAAATTATATCACAATTATAGAGTTGTAAAGCGGCCAGTTATGATTGATTGTCCCTAACATAAAGTCATCGATAGTGAAAGTTAGTTTGGTAACTTTAACGAAGTAGTCTTTTTCTCCATCTAAAGGAATATGTGTCAGTTGGGCTATACAGATTTTAGGATCTAGTAAAAGTTTAACCACTGATATATCATCTCTTTGGATAAGATGAGATTTAACTCGAGTTAGGTTGGATTGACACGTGATTCAGTTGATTTGGGTTAACCTGAGTTAGGTCGGGTTGACCCGATGATTCAGCTGATTGGGGTTAGCCTTTGTTAGTTCAGGTGACCCGGTGGTGGAGTTCGCTTCAGTGTCGGCCGTCTTGAGGTTACAACACCACCGGGTGCTCGAGATCAAGCCACCTCCACACATCATAAGGCATGGCCAGGGATGTTGGACTGCAGTTTTTGCTAAAGCTGGCACTATGCTAGGAAACAAGTGGCACAAATAACAATGCATCTCCCTAGAAGAAAGAGAACTTTACAGCAGACTCATCAGCTGAAAATCATAAGAACAAATAAGAAAATCTCAAAAATATTTCTCTCTTCTACTCATTCGAGCTATTGGAATCATCCAAACAAAACCATGTGATTTACTCTCGAAAAAAGCAGAGGAATTTGTGGCCAAAGGTCTTGTTTGCAGATTGGATATTGAGAGAGATTAAAATGGGTAACTCGGGTTAGAGAGCCCATATGGAGTAAAGGGATAGACTCGGGATTCACGTAGCTTTGACAGTAGAGAAAAGAATTAACAAAGGGAATTTGGGGGCTATGAGTCAACAAGAAATTGGTGAGCATGGGAGCAATGTTTTGCATTTTGAGACCATGGATTTAGTGGGTGGTGAAATGGCGAGTTGACGTATCAACAACATTGTATCATGGAATTTGTCGGCTGACTAAAAATACCAAGGGTGGTTGGTGAAATGGCGGTTGACCGGTGAAGTGGCGACCAGGCTGGTTGGGTGGCTGGTGCGGGCTATTTTCGCGTGACAGAAAAGGTCAGATGGAGACAGATGGGACTAAAGAAAATTTTGGCGTTGTTTTGGCTCGGACAACGGCTAGGAGTCATCAAAGGGAGTGTTGGCGATAAAGTTATTTTTATAAGTGAAAGGGAGTAATGGGTGATGTTGTAAGAGAAAGATAAAGCTACCGAAAGAGTAGCTGGATTAAAATGTGGAAGACGATGAGAATTCGTACAATATTTTAATGTGACAAAAACCCGCTGAGAGACTTTTTTTTTTACTGCTTTAGAGGGAAAGATATATCTTATTCATAAGTATTAAATCGAGCGACTGAAATGACGTGTCCGAGGGTGATAGCTTAGCCGGTGGACTGAAATGGGATGACTAACTACTGAACTGTCTCAAGATTCATACAGACCATTTTTAATTTTATGATTTCGGTGCATCCCTTATATCTCTAGATAGAGCATTTAATTTAATAAAACCTTTGATTTTCAAAGTTTTATTTATTTTATATTTTTTTATGGTGAGTGATTAGAAAATAATGAGCTATTTAATAATAATTTTATGAGTTCATCCTATTCCCCTTGTGGCTCCATTTTTTTCCATAAAACTTAAATGTTTTCTCAAAGATTCTGGCCTGGCCTAAATCTTATTATACAGAGCTTTTAAGATAATATTAATTTAATGGTCAACAACTAATTATGATATTATTATTATTATTATTATTATTATTATTATTATTATTATTATTTTCTTATAGGGAAAGCCCTCCAACACAACTCCTTTAAATTTTTACTTCTATTCTCAAACAATATATTATACAGTAGAGCACCAATTTATGTCAATTTCCCCCTTTGCACTTTAGATAAGCATTAAAAAAAAGGTACATTTACATACTGACCACTCATAACTTGTTATTTACAAGACATCCATCCTCTTCACTCATAAAACCTATATTTTTCATCTCCATCAAATTAAACCATCTTCATGGTTAAGTTGTAAATATTAAATTTTTGGATGGTCTTTTTGTAATTATCCCTAAAAAAAGTTCTTTTTTTTTTTATAATGTAGCCCAAGTTTGTCTTTTGAGAGGTTTTTAATGAGAAAAAACATAAATTCTCTAAAATTGAATTGATCGCAGATGAATTCCAGGTTGTCAAGAGACATCATTTACGCACTTCCCTCCTCCCATTTCCCTCCCCACCTCCCCTCTGACGTACGAAAAGCACAAGGCCGAAAGGGGAGCTAGAAAGAGGTGAAAAAGGTTCGATTCGTTGAAGTTGGTAGTCCTCGCCAGAAAAAGGCAAGTCCTCGCTGGCCAAATCGACGAAAATTGGTTCCCCGGAACAAATGGCGGAGATGCCCATTGTTTCTCATCCATGGAGGTCTTTCTGACAATGGGCGGCCCGCGATTATTCCCTGTCATGGATCTCTCCACGCCTCTCTTTCCTCTTCCGTCGTCGTTGAATGCGCGAGTTCAGCGGGAGGCCATATGAACTCCGCGGAGGTGATGTGGCTTCATCTTCTTTGATGATGAAATGAGTATTGATTTCTTGGACTTAATCGCTGAAAGGCAAGATATTGATAAAAGTTTCTTTGTTTGCAGCTTTTGTTCTGAAATTAGGCCAGGGTAACTTTTTTGGTTTGAACAAATTTCGGTTTCCGGTGATTTGAATCGCTGAAGAAGGAAGCAAATTAACTCTTCTCGATGTCGGTTCCTGGAGAATTGTGGGATGTGATATGCAGCTGAGGAGAGGTTTTTGAATCATTGCTTGAGAGGAGAACAGAAGCATCACATAGATTATAGATTTCAGGGGCGTTGGAGAAGAACAGAAGTATTGATATTGGATCTTTTTTATCAGAAGCTTCTGCAAAAAGCTTAAATTTCAGGTATTTTGAATCTTTGCGTCGGTATATTTTGTGATGTATTTATTATTCTGCGTTGAGTGGAATGAGATAACTTTCTTAATCATCTTTTTTTTCGCTCTGTATTTGTGTTTTTTAGCTAAATAAATAGCTGGGATTAATTTTCAACAACTTTCCTTGATATTTCATTAGGAGTACTCTGAAAGTGGATATTTCATATTTTTACCACGGAATTCTGCAGTTTTAATCAATTCAATTCGTAGTTAAAGATCTTTTTTTTCTTCTTTTTTTTTTCATAGAAATGTATTATATTTTCTAACGCTTAAGATTAGGAGCAGAATTAGGAAGACCTCAAGGCAGGCAATATTTTACCAAAAATTTTGAAATTTCTGTTAATAGGTTGTAAGAAAAACAAATGACTATCAATAAATAAGTTATTTTCTTACCTCAATAAATCATTTTGCTTAAGATGCAACCTCAAGGAAGAGGCTGATTTCACCCCTGTTTATAATGTATTATTAGTTAATCTTCCAGAGATTCATGATGGCATTGAAATTCTAACCATGATATTTGAAGTTAGTAGATTTAGTAGATCACCTGCATTCTAAGTTTTAAGGAACCTAGACTGAAATCCCATGAACAAAGTATGCTTGTATGAAACATGTGCGGTCAAATCAGTCAACGCACTCTGAAACATCACCATGTGAGACTTGTGACTTTGTAGCTTTCTAGTTGTCTTTGCCTTACAAAATCTTGTCATATTTATATCATAATATGGACCTTGGAGGGTAATGGCTTTTATGGCTAACATACAAATATTGAATGAGCTCATCTTTCATAACCAAAATGTACAACCCTTAAGGAGCAGCATGTCAATTTCATGATTAGTGATTATTTTATTTCTTATCAAAGAACAGACACAATATTATCAAACAAATCCATTGGAGCAAATGGGCAACAAAAAAAAAAAAAATTAAGGAAACTTCGAACCAAAAGACATGCTTGAAAAAGTACAAACCATATATAACATCTCTCTTTACCATGCGAGCGATCTGCGAAATAATTTTCACCATTCCTAATATGATGTTATGTTAATCCAAATTTTGTTTCATCTGCAAAAAATTGTTTTTTTTTAATTATTATTTTTCTTGCTTTATTGTCCTACTTCAGTCATTTATTGATTTGGAGCTTTCAATTTGCTAGGAGTTGCAGCAGGAAGCTAATTATGGCTAAGAAATCTCAAAAACGGTCTCCGCGATTGCGAAAGGAAAATTCAAGTTGTATGGGGGGTTTGATCAGCATGTTTGATTTTCGCCAAGGACGTTCTGGTCGAAGGTTGCTTTCAGATAAAAAGTGTGGGAGTGTTCGAAACTTAGGTGAGAAACTCCACAATAAACCATGGGAATGATTCAGTTTATATTTTTATTCTCAACCTATTGAATGATTCGCTGACGCTATAAATGATTTACAATTTCTCCACATCGTAGACTAAAAGGCGTTCCATTTTGTTAATTTCGGTGTCAATCACATTTGCTTAACATTTCAGATTTTTTAGAATTAGAAGTTTCTATCATGGGAAAATTTATAGCTTGATGCATTGCATGCTGTGGTTCCATTTTGATGGATGCTTGCTATCTTGCACTGTATTTTGCAGAAAACGTTCACCAACTTTTATGTTTATGTCAGTGTTGATGATGCAAAGATGACATTTTTCATAATTTTGAGGTTCATTAACATAAATTTTATAGCTTGTCATTTAAGAAAGTTTTGCTAGTCAAATCAGCCCTATTCAGCCTCTATTAAGGTCATATCAATTCAAGCCGGTGTGGGCTCTTAAAATTCAATGAGTGCTCCCCATGACAACTCTCTGCATTTATTTTTATTTTGATAGAGAGAGAAAGTGCTTTGGAGGGTTGAAGTTTCAAAAAGCGGATTGGATTGTGGATAAGACACTGCCTAGAGATTTCACCTTTATTTTACGAGGACTTTTTGATCTTGGGGTTCGGGGTTTCTCATAGGCGCAAGTCCCAATGGTAATTACCTCTCTCGATAATGGGAAAGCACTTTCAATTAAGACTAGTCATTATGAATTGAATATTCAACACATAATAGCAGTTGACTTAAGATTTTAAACTGTAAAATTCATCACTTGAAGCTTAAAGCGGATTATAGGGGAATGAAGACGAAACCCAATCAAGATCACATGGTTCTGTCATCCCGGGTCATCGTGGTCCCTGCTTAGTCGATCCAACTTGACAGAAAATCATTGTCGTCAACCATGGGTTGTGTCGTCCAAGGTGCCTTGTAGATCTAGGGTGGATGTTTGTTTAAGGGAACAAATTTAAGTCGACCTTAGCTAACTGAATGCTTTGTGTCAATCAATTATATCCTTTTGATTCATAATTCAAAGGATAGAAAACCATTGAAGAACATACGGGTTGCAACTGTGACCATGGCAACCACCTGATTAGAGAACTTTGAGTGTAACCGCTATTTTGTGTTGTCATTTGGCGGCAAAACCACGCGACAAAGAACTCGGGCCACTTCTTTATTGGCATGCAATTGCTTTCATTATAAATAGAAATATACATTTAATATGAGCTTAGCTCTCTGTGAGCTGAAGTCGGTTAGAAATTTATTGCTCTCAACAAACTATTGCGGATGGTGGATGAAATTTGTTTTGATTCTTTAGTGATTGATTTTTAACTTGGATTTTTTTTATTATTGTGAAAGTCTTGATTTAAAAGATTGACCCATTCAGTTGAAATCTTCTATAAACTCGAATATCACTGGGGTATTAAATATTTGAAAATTTTGTATATATGAAGGGGCAATTAATTTTGTTTGTTTAAGCTTTTCAAAAAATAAGTCTTGTCGATTCCTGTCATTATAAGGAGGATCATACTAGTTTAGTGATTTGGACTTGTAAACTCTTATTTCAGGATTTGACATTTATTGGGACTTACTAGACTTGTCAACTCTAGTTTTTACGAGGAGGATTAGACTAATGGGGTGGGGCTTACAACCTTCCTTATAGACAAGACAACCCGATTAGCCGGCGCAGCATTCTCGACCCTAGTATTTGAGCATTTTATACGTTGGTTGGAGCACAAGCGGGCATTTAATTTCATATATTTGAGTTATTTTAGCTGTAACATTTGATGTCTTAAGACATTTTAAATAATTTATAACATGTATTAAATCAAATAACTTCAAAGAGTGTATCTTGAAAGACTTGCACAATTTTTGAGACGTTTATATTTTGAATCGAATATTGCCTTAAAACTTGATAAAGTCATAAAACCATTTAATCATCGGAAATTTTTTGTGAATATTATGACCATTTAATCATCTTGCAATTACTCATCCACCTAAGCATTTTCATCTCAACAACATTTAACTTAGTTTTGTGCTTCTCTTTTAAAGGCCAAAATTCAATGTCATAGAGCATTGTAGGTCTCACCACCATCTTATAAATTTTTCCTTTCAGTCTAAACGGTACTTTTCTATCTCACAATAGACCAAAAGCATTCCTCCATTTCATTTGAATTCTACTAATAACATCCACATCTATATCACCATCACTTTGAACAATATACTCGAGATATCTTAAGCTTTCACACATTTTGATAATTTGATCACCCATAGTTTCAACTCTATTACTGAAACTATTACTACTAAAATTACATTCTATGTATTCATTCTTAGCTCTACTCAAACGAAGACCTTTAAAATTCAATGTAGCCCCCCATAATTCAAGTTTTTCCCGAGCTCTCTCTCTCTCGAGAAGGATATCATCTGTGAAAAGCATACACCAAGGTGCATCCTCCTATAAACGTTTTGTAAAAGCATCCATAACTAAAACAAAAAAGATTTGGGCATAAAGTTGATCCTTGATGTAATCCAAGTGAAATAGGAAAGTATTTGGTCAATCCTCCTTCTATTTGAACACGTGTAACAGCTCTAGTATACATATCTTTAATGACTAGAATATAAGTCATATCAACACCTTTCTTCTTTAGAACTCTCCAAAGCATATCTCTTGGAACTTTATCATAAGCTTTTTCTAAATTAATAAAAATCATATGTAGATCCTTCTTATTCTCTATGACCTTCTCCATCAACCTCTCAATAAATGTATAGCTTCTATAGTGGACCTGTCCGACATCAATCCAAATTTATTATGAGAAATCTTTGTAATATGTATTAGCCTATGTTCAACTATTTTCTCCCATAATTTTAAAATATGACACGTCAACTTAATTTATATATAATTTGCACACTCTTGTGCATCCCCTTTATTCTTAAAAATGGTGACCAAAATTCTCTTCCTCTACTTTTCAGACATCTTTTTAGTTTTTAAAATAATATTAAAGAGTTTAGCAAGCCAAGAAATTCTCAAATCTCCTATATATTTCTATGCTTCAATTACAGACTTTTCACCCTTGGTTTTCTTTAAAGTCTCATCAACTTCTATTTTACTAATGCGACGATAAAAAATGAAGCATTTTAATAATATTAATGATTTTATGATCACTGTGGTCAATCATATTTTCAAAAACTTCATTAAAAAGTTTATCAAAATAACTGATTCACCTATGTTTAATATTTTTTTATATGAAAATCACTTTTTGATTTTCATCTTAAATATAATTTAATTGTGTTAAATCTTTACATTTCTTTTCTCTTTGTTTGGCTAGTTTATACATATATTTGTCGCTCTCTTCAGTATCTAGTCTATTATAAAAATCACTAAAAACAGAATTTTTTGTATCATAGATTATTCTCTTAAACCCTTTACAGGTCATTTTATATTTTTTTTCAATTCTCTAAGTTCTTATATTTAAACAAATTTTGACAACATAATTTTTTATATTTTATTTTTTCTTTCACATTATTATTCCACCACCAACTATTTTTATTTATAAAAAGTTTTTCTTTTGATTCTCTAAGTACATTTTTTGTCATTTTTTTAAAATTGTTTGTTACTTTATCCCAAATAGAATTTGCTTCTTCATGAACATCCCAAATCATAAAATCTTGAAGTTTGCTAATAAAAATAATTTTATTTGTCTTTTAGGTGCTCTCATTTAATTCTACGATAATGATTCCTAATATTCTTTGATTCCTTAATGATTCCTAATATTCTTTATTTTACAACTCTTCATTTTAAAATCTAGAACTAATAATCTATGTTGAGTACTTAAATCATAATTTGGAAGTACCTTACAATCTTCACATTCTTGACAATCTCTTATTCTCATAAGAAAATAATCAAATTGTGTTTTGTTAGATCCATTCTTATAAGCAATAATACACTCAACTCTTTTTTGAATAAAGTATTAGCAATCATAAAGTCATACGCTATAACAAAATTTAATATGGCTCTAACTTCTTTATTAATCACTCCAAAACCGTAGCTATCATGAATATTTCTAAAATCTCTTACCACTCTACCGGCATGTCCATTTAAATCTCCTCCAATAAAATTATTTCTTCATGAGGTATCATTTGTACTGTCTTCTAGACCATTCCATAATTTACTTTTTGAATCGATATCTAAATCTACTTGAGAAGCATAAACACTTATAATATTAAAAATCTTGGTATCAATAATAATCTTAAGGGTTCTAATTTTATCTCCAATTCTATTAATGTTTACAATATTATCTTTCAAACTCTTATTCATAATGACATCTACACCATTTCTAGCGCGACACTTATCAGAATACCAAAGTTTAAAACATAAGTTATAAATTTTATTAGTTTTTTTCTCCAATCCATTTATTTTCTTGAATACACAAGATATTTATTTTTATTGGAATCATAATATCAACTAATTTCATTATTTGACCTGTGAGAGTACCAATATTCTAAGAGTCTCCCCTAATATTAGTTTCATTGACTAACTTCTTTACATGTATTCGCTCGTAATATGAGAATCTTTGCTTATTTGACACTACTCCCGGGAATCGGTGTAACAGTTCTTGCACACATTTTACTGTATGCAGGTCATACAGTGTGTCACTTCTAGGGGAAGCCCTAGCATTTACACAATGATCAAAATGATTATGTCATGATTTTTCAATAAATTTTACACTTATTGTCGACTAACTAACGCAACACTCCACTTTTCACATCCAGAGCTTAGGGTTTATGAATTGAAATGGAGTGTCTATAATCCCCTAAGTCTGAATAGCTCAAATTCAAAATATTTTTTAGGATTAAGGGATGAAATTTTAAAATTCAAATCTTAATACTGTAAGATTTGAAAATTTATATTTTAATAGCCCAAAAATTTTAAAATTTTAAAGCCCTAAAAGCTTAAACATTTAAAAGCTCGAATTTTAAAATATTTTAAAGCCTAGAGAGCTTAAATCTCATAAGCATAAGACTTTAAATAATTTTAAAATCCTAAGAGGTTATATTTCAAAAGCTCAAATTTTAAAATTTTTAAAATTTCAATGATTCACATTTTATTTTTATTTTATAATCTAAAAATTTTCAAAATTTTCTTATTTACAAGTTCAAATTCACTCAAAAAATCGGCAGTCTCTCAACATCAACCACTCCCGTTTGGGGTCACCAGAGTATGTCAATCTTTTCAGCTATCTTGAGAAATGAGTTGGTCAGTATCGTGGGATACTGCGACCAGGGAACAAAAGTGTAACTTAACCCACAATCTTAAAAGATGCAACAGACTTTCGATATATCTGCACAAAAAAGTTATCTCGCTCGCAAACTAAAATTTTTGTAGTGGTACTTTGTTTTCCTCAAATCGTAATCAATTTATCATGGACGGGTACCCACTTTCTCATGAACCGGAATTTTAAAATCCACATATTAAAAAAAAGAATTTGCAAACGAGTCTGAGTTTTTCACTCAATGGTACTTAATTTTCCCATGAATCGGTACTCGCCTGCTCGCCCTTACTCGACTGGATATTTTCAAAAACCTATGCCATTTTGCCCCAAAAAGTATTCCTTTCCCAATCAATGGGCGGCGATAACGGTAAAATAAAACCTCAACAAAGATTTTTTTTAATATATATACAATTACAATGTAAATATAAACAATAAAGTAATAAAAGAGCAATAAGCATTATCGGCTGAACTTGCATCAAGTAAGGCTTGTATAATGGGAAGAGGGCTCGGATTGCATCACTTTGGGAGCGACCAAAGAAGAGATCGGGCAGAAGATCGCACAGGGAGGAGAGACGAGCGTCTTCGGCGATCTCGTAAGAAGGCTCGGCACAGTGACGAAGGGTTGCGTTACAGGGAGGATGCAAGGCTTCGACTGGTCGGTTCTCAAGTGAAGGAGGGAAGAACGGTCGATTCGTGCGCACTGGTATGGGAAACTCTACGAAACCAGCGAAGGCTAGGACAGAGAGAAGAGTGGCGAGCGATCTCTACGTGCGATACAGAGGGATTGAATCGCGGTAAAAAGGGAAGTGGCCCTCTAATCGAGCATGGAGGAAAATAGGGATGGTGCGGATTTGGGAGATTGGGTTTCGAACAGGGGAGAAAGCAGACGAAGGAAGAGGAAGAGGAAGAAGCGTAATCGTGCAAATGAAACATGAACAGTGAATTACTTCTTCGTTGCGAACTGAAGAGGATGGCGACCGGAGAGTTGAACAAGGGAACAAGAACGACAGAGGGAAGACGTGGATCGAGAACACTGCCAATGAAAGGGAGAGACGATTGAGAAAGTGCAAATGAATAGGAAAGTGGCCTTCTTGGTCTGCTTGTAGCCGGAACAGTTGCTTTTTCGAACGGGGGAGTCTTTGGCAGGATTAAATAGATACTTAAGTTAATTAATTCAATTTCAATTAATATAATTTATTTCTTCTTTTTTCAAAAAAAAAAATCTTATGATCAACAGCCAGCCTGAATTTTTTCGTGCAGGCTTGGGACTGGCAATGCTGCATTTTTGTCATAATACTTTGATTCACTTGTTGAATTACCTTCAGCTGTTTATACTGTTTTGCAGGCATTGGTTATTCTAGTAGCCAAGACGATCTCTCATGTAATATTGGGGAAAATCATGGGGATGCTGAAAACTTGGCTTACTTATCTGTGAGTCTGTATTACCCTTCCCTGGAAAAAAAATATTGTCAGATTTTTTCATGGTTGAACTGAAATAATGTAAAGTTGTTGTCTTTTCAAATCAATTATCCTACTGACATTTTTACCTTGGCCTGTTTGTTTTTAGGATGCTGAAGCTGACGAAGCTGACATGTTTAATTTGGGCGTGGCAAGTATTAAAGAACTCATGGAAGAGGAAATGTCAAGAACGCACCGCTCCAGGAAAGATTCTAGTTCCAAAATTGAATGGTTAGAAGTTGAATTGGAACTTGAAACCAATGCTGAGAGAAGTCGCAATGAGCAAGATGAGAACTTTTTGGTAGGTTCTGATGATCAGTCCAAGGATTTAGATGTTTCTACAAAATTGATATTCCAACAGTCTGATTATCCAAATATATCAGAGGTTCTTACTTCAGACATGGATGTGGCTGCATTCATGGTAGATTGCTGCAGCACTAGCTTTCAATTCGAAGATAAAACAGATCAGCGTACTTCTCATGTAAGCATTGAAGATCTCAAAAAAACTGAACTTGAAGACGAATCTGTGACTATTCTTCAGAAGGCCATTGTTAATATAGCCAAGGTTATTATAAAACAAAAATCCATCAGCTCAAGCAAGGTTGTTGGAAATACAGACGTCCAGCAAGCAGAGGAATTCAGCCATTTATTAGAGATGCTGAATTCAGACAAGGATTTGTTTCTAAAGCTTATTGAAAATCCAAATTCGCCCATCCAAAAGCAAATTGAAGAGCTCCAGAATGTTCAAATTGGTAAAACTTCTAACGATGAAAATCAATTTTTGGGGGAGTTTCAAGCTTTAAACCAGACTCAAAAAAAAGGTGGCCACCACTTCTTCATGAGAAGAGAGAAATTAACAGAAGGAAACCAATCAAATGACTGCAGCGGTGCTAAAATTGTAAATAGAATTGTTGTTTTGAAGCCCAATCTTGTTAGAAAACAAAATCATTCAAATACAGTTCATTCTGTACCTTCTATTCAATCAAATTGTAGCCTTGAAAACAAGGAAGATGGAGAAAGAATTTCATCCCATTTTTCACTCAGAGAAATTAAAAGAAGGTTCAGAAATGCAGTTAGTACAAGCAAAAAGGAGAGACTCTCAATCACCATGGATGGCATTCTTCATAAGATCCCATATGGTAAACAGATAAGCAGTAAGAATAAAATTTCTTGTAGTACAGAGGCCATTGAAAGTGAAGATGAAAATAAATCAAATACCAATGAAATGCAAAGGAAAAATGAGCTTTCATATCCAACCAATACTGTTAGTGGACACAAAATATTGAACAAGAATGCTGCGCCCCAAAAGCTGTATAGAGAAGCCGCCTTCTATGATGAAGCCAGAAAACATCTTTCTGAGTTACTTCGGATGGATATTAAAGCTGAATCATTATCTGCTATTCAAGCATCCAAATCCTTGGGAAAAATACTTTCTTTTCCAGGATTTAACTATTTTTCCCCACGACTCAGCCCGGCAATAGGAAAAGAACTGAAGTCTCCCCAGGAGAAGACATCAATATTTCTATGCCACTATAAACATAATTTTGGTGCAAAATACTTGGGCCCGTCAAGACAAAAAGAGAGCTTCCCTAACTCTAGCAAGAGCCTGGAAGCAGAAAATGGTACACCTTGAAATCACAGACTCTGTTCATAGTTCCTTCACTACTCTTGGTCTTGCTCTTTTGTTATTGCTTGAAGTATTGGAATTCATGCAGGGAGCATGGAGATTACAGAAATTGAAGATTATATCCAAACCGAGGAAGTAGAAGCCCATTTTGCATCTATTAGCAATGAAGATGATCTTCACGGTAAAATTTTCATGGAAGAAGGATCTTCTGCGCCATTAGAGCCAGTAAGTTGTTTTCTGTTGAATATCTTTTGCATTTATCCCCTTGTGTATTGCAATAACCTATTTGTTTTTTCCCAGGTAAAAATTGAAGATGTGTTTCAACCATCAACCCCCACTGCCTCTACTTCTGTTGTACTACAAGAACCAAGAGACGCGGAATGCACCATCGATAATCCTGGCCGTCCAAGCCCGATCTCGGTTCTCGAACCCCTTTACTTTGAAGATTTAAGCAGCCCTGCAAGCTTCATAACAGAGCATGGTATGCCATTTTACGTACTTTCCTGTTTGACTTCTCTAGCATAATTGAAATCATCTTCCCTAAATTTTCATTAACATCATGATCAACACGTAGGAACCAATGCTGAGGGGAAAATACAGCCCAAGGAATCTCAAACTGATACTTCTGTAGCTGCTTCAGACTCAATAGATTCATGGTTTGATGAAGCTTCATTGTTTGATGAACTGGAATTATCATATGGTTCGTTGATAAATGATCCAAAGTTCCTCTTTGATTTAATTGATGAAGTGGTTACTGAGATCAAGGAAAGGAATTTCAGTGGTACACCTTGGGCGACAATCATCAAGCCAAGCATTAGGCGGATACAGAAACAGGAAGATTTCATAAATGAATCATACAGAAGGATTAACTGGCATTTAGATGTACAATTTCCAACAAAAATGGAGCAGGCTGTGAAGAAAGATTTTGATGGTGGAGTCTGGTTTAATCTTCAGCTGGAAGCTGAAGATGCGGTTAATGAGATTGAAAATGAGATTTTGGATTATTTGTTTGAAGAAACAGCTCTGGAGTTGTGGGATTGATCTGATATTATTTGTTGTTTTATATGTTAAATAATGATTAAGAAAAGCTACAGAGCCGGTTAGCATATAAATAATTAGGGGCATTTACATAGACACCTCTCAATTCTATGTATTTACATATCTAACACCCAAAACTTTACCTTTTTTTTTTTTTACATATGTACCCCCAAATGTATCTTATCATATAAAAAATACCACTATTTTAACATGTAAAGAGTGAAACACGCATTTTCATGCATAAGTAAGTTGACATACGTAAAAATTAAAGTTTAGCTGTTAAATATGTAAGTAAAGAGGAATTAAGTGGTATGTCTAGAATATTTATAACTTGCTGGTGGGATCAGAGGAAACTCATTCTGATGGTAAGCTGCCGCCATACAAAATGTTCTAGGGATGCTGATTCTTGCTCTGTAACAGATTAAACGGGTTTTTTATTTTTTTTAATTTTTATTTTTATCGTTATTATTATTTTTTGTGAAGAGGTTGAATGTGATGTTTTATTATTATTATTGTTATATATATATAATTTTCTGTGTCGCGTACTCAGATCAGTTGGTCGGGCATCTGCTTGTCAGTTATAAGTCCCCTCTGGTCTGGGTTCAATTCCCCCCTAAGACTTGGGTGTGGTACTCGAATTCTTGGGCTCATGAGGGGTGTCGGGGGCTCGTATGATTGCCACCGGTCATTCCTTTTTAAATATAACTTGAGTGAAATTCCATATGTTTCTTCGATTGTATAGAGGCAATCTGAGTATGTTTTATGTAATTTCTTTAAATTCATAATAGAAATTTCTTGGTTGTGTGGCTCTGTGATATTTTTCTTGTTCTCGTTTTCCACGTTAAGTTCTTGCGTGCTTCTATTTGTATTTTTGTTCTAGTTTTCTTGAATTTGTACGATTTTATTCTGTGGTGTAGTTTAGATTCTAATTGAATCTAAGCCCTAGTAAAGAATAAGGAGATTTTTCATCCTAACAAAGTGAAATCATAGTAGTGTTTGATTCGAGTGGGAGCAATGTCTGACGAAGCAAGGTTGAAAGTGGAGAAGTTCAATATGACGAACTTCACATTCTAGAGGATGTGGAGTAATTGTTGTATCAAAAAAAGTTGTATTTGCCACTACATGGAATCACCAAGAAGCCTGAGTATATGGTTATGGAGGAATGGGAAGTATTGGATTGAATAACACTAGGTTTAATCTGGTTGTCACTTTCTTCATTTGTTGCGTTCAACATAGTAAATGAGAAAATCGCGGTGGATCTCATGGCCACACTAACAAAGATGTACAAAAAATCATCTACTTCAAATAAGTTTATTTGATGAAAATGTTATTCAACATGAAGATGGTGGAAGACACTTCAATGATAGAATATATGAATAAATTTCAACATTGTAATGAGACAATTGTGTTATGTGGGGATCAAGTTTGATAATTAGGTTAGAGCACTGGTGATATTATATTCATTGTCGAATAGTTGGGATGCTTTGGTCACGACAATGAGTAATTCATCAAGAAATATGAAGTTGAACTTTGAAGACATCATGGGTTTAATGTTGAATGAAGAAGCTCGCAGAAAAGAAGTTAATGGTGAATCTTCAGGCTCCGCGTTGAATGCTGACAACAGAGAACGGATTCTGAACAGGAATACTAACAAAGACAGATCTAAGCTCAGAAGAGGAAAGTTCAGACCAAGCAGGAAATGTCAGAGAAGAATGTTGGAACTGTCGAAAGAAAGGAAATTTTCAAGAAGGACTGCAAAGCTCCAGAAAACCTAGTGGTGAAGGATAGAAAAAGAGTCTCTCTACAAATGTCTCCATTGTTGAAATCCAAAATAACTTTCTGGTGTTATCCCTAGTCAGCATTGAATCTTAGATAATAGATTTAGGTGTCTCTTGTCATACATGCCCCATAAAGAGGTATTCAAAATATACACTCAGAGTGATCAAGGGAATATTTATCTGGGAGATAACAAGGCATGCAATATCGTAGGAAAGGATGATGTTGATATCAGGTTGTCAAATGGAGCGGTCTAGAAGCTTACTGAAGTTAAACATGTTCTAAGGCTTAAGAGAAGTTTCATTTTTATAAACCAATTGATAAATTCAAGATTCATGACTATTTTCACAAGTGATTCATTGAAGGTGACCATAAGGCACCAATGATGGCTCGGGGCAACACTAAAGGAATTTTTTTACATGATCAATGAAATGGTTGATTTCATTGATGTGGTTGAAACTAGAGTTGTTGCAGGAATGTGGCACCATAGGCTTGGCCATATGAGCGAGAACTGTATGAAACCTCTATTCTCTAAAAATAAACTTCAGGGTTAGAAAGCAATTGATTTGAATTTTTTTGTAAAGATTGTATATATGGTAAGTAAAAGAAAGTCTCTTTCTCTAAAAATGGATCATTGGTGAATTCAAAGAAATTGAAGTTAGTGTATACTAACTTATGGGGTCATGATCTAGTTCAGTCCATTAGAGGTTCACATTACTTTGTCACATTTATTGACAATCACACAAGAAAGGAATGGTTTACTTCTTAAAGAAAAAATTTAGTATATTGAAATCCTTAAGAAATGGAAGAATATGATAGAAAATAAGATAAGCTTAAAGTTGTAGTGTCTCAAATCAGATGATGAGGGTATGATCAGAAGTAGAAATTTATGTGTTGCAGAGGGGATCAGGCATGAGTTCATCCAAAGAACACCACAGTAAAATGGCATGGCTGAGCGTATGAATAGAAAAGTCACAGAGCATTCTAAAAGCGTGAGACTACATGCAGTTTTGCCAAAATAATTTTGAGTTGAAGTAGTAAACACTGCAGTTTATTTGATTGACTGTGGACCATCAATACCTTTAGAGTAAGGCTTACCTGAAGAAGCCCGAAGTGACTAAAATGTAAATCTAACTCATTTAAGAGTATTTGGGTGTTCTGCATATGTGCATGTAGATGCAGGTTCCAAGAGCAAGCTTGACTCAAAATCTGTCAAGTGCACTTGCATTAGATATAACTCAGATGAGTTTGGGTATAAGTTCTAGGATTATCATAATAAAAAATTTATCAAGAATAGGGATGTCACTTTCAAAAAAATGAATAAGTACAAACACAAGGTCGAAAATTAGGATAACCTGTCAGTCTCTTCTGAAGGGTTCAAATGTGTTGGGATAGAAGACACTAGTGATCAGGAGGATGGAGAAAGAACTTGTGCTCAATCATAAGAATCATCAAACGAGTACTGATGTCAAGAGATCAAGTAGAGTGATACCACCCATACAAAGGTATTCCATTTTGTTACAGTATTTGTTATTAGCTCATAATTCTGAACCAGAGTGCTTTCAAGAGGCCAGTCAAGTTAAAGATTCAAGAGAGTGGGATTGTCATGGATGAAGAAATGCAACTTTTGAGTCAAATTAAACTTGGGATTTAATGATATTACCAGCAGACAAAAGAGCACTACACAATAAATGGGTATACAGGATAAAAGAAGAGTTGGATGGTAGCAGATGCTACAAGGCAAGGCATGTTGTGAAAGGTTTCCAATAGAAGGAATGAGTAGATTATATAGAGATCTTTTCTCTGGTGGTGAAATGACATTTGTCAATTTTATAATGAGTCTAGTAGCAGAGTAAGGCCTATAATTAGAGCAGATTGATGTAAAAATAGCTTTCTTACATGAGACTTACAGGAGGAACAATACATGTTTCATGATAAGTTGATAATTTTGCACTTTTTATTACTTATATTTTTGCCTTTTATGTGATGATACTACACTTTGAGGAAGATTTTGTGTTATTTTTGTAGGTTTTAGCAGAAAAGTGGGCGAACGAGAATAAAAATAGGATCAAATTAGAAAAAATGAGCAAATTTGGCCACTGGTGTCTAGGCACCAGTGGCTTCCCAAATGGATCAAAACTCCCAAGATAACAGAAAGGAGGCATTGCCCCTTGGGTGCCTAAATGTTTCTACTAGTGCATAAGAACCGCGATACCAGGGCCTAAGGGCCAGCTGTTTAGAAAATGTTTTTAAGTGAGTGGTGCCTAGGCACCAGCCACTGGGAGTCTTCCAATACCCAAAATTTGATTGTTTTGGCAGTTCAACTTTTAAGTTAAGGATGAAGAATTATAAAAGGCTTGAGCATGAAGAAGTGACGGGCTTGAGCATGAAGAAGTGATGCTTCTTCCTTTATTTTTCTTTACAAAAATTTGGAAGGAGAGTGTTGAAGGAGAAGGCCAAAAATTCTACAAAGAGATTGAGTGCAACTGTGATTGAGAGATTAAGAGAAAATTTCCCACTTGCTCTATAAGATTCATTGCAATATTTGTTTTTGAAGGAGATAAGTACAATTATGTTATATTTTTCTTTGGATTTCTTTGTAAGAGACTCAATGTATGTTTTATTTTCGTAATGCAATGATTGTGTTGATGTTTTTTATCATAAGTAGTGAGTAGTTTCTGTTATTTCTTCCTTGAATTGGGAATGTGGTAGGATAAAATTGAGAATTCTTTTCTTTTCTGTGCTTGAGCTTTCTAAAAGTATTGTGTTAACTTTTAAACTTAATTTACATTCTTCTTGGACAGTAGAATAATTAAAACCTTTTGTGAACTCTAAGATCCGAGAGGATACTTTGTAGAATGAAAAGTTTTAACCACATAAACTCATTGGAATGGGGATATTACCTTTGATTATATGAAATTCATAGGGAGTTGGTTTTGCTTAAGCTAATTATGGGATTTAGGGAACTAAATTCATGATAGCTAACCCTTCTTAGACTACAGTAAGGAGATAAGAAAAATTTCTCTTGATTGACATTGGGCTTTAATAATTTCCTCAATTATATTCTTCACTAAACCAATTTAATGGGGAAGTTTGTCGAACCTTGAATGCCTTAAATAATCTTCTTGCTTGTTAGGATAAACTTGTTTTCATAACTTTAGAATAGTTTTTAAAATTGAACTTGTGAATCGAACATTTTAGGCTTAGGCTGAATGTTGTAGGCCAAAACTTTTCCTTCATTGAGTTTTTCTCATTTCATGTATGATTGATAACCATATTCAATCATGTTACTATTGATACGCTAAGTATACTTGTTTAAGCAACCCATGTTTTATAGCACTTGATGTGTCTCACTGCAACTATAGAGTTACAAAGTTTCAGACAAAGAAGTTTTGGTCTGCATATTGAATAAAAGCCTCTATGGCTTGAAGCAGGCCGCAAGACAATGGTCTAGGAGGTTTGAAAGGTTTCTTTCAAACAGTGAGTACACGAAGTGTCAAGCAGACCACTGTTTCTTCATTAAACATTTCAGTAATTATTATATCTTGCTTGTTTTGTATGTGGGTGGCATGTTGATTGCAGGAGAATATATGAAGAAAATTAGAGACTTAAAGAAAGAACTATCAAGTGAGTTTGAGGTGAAGGATTTAGGTCCAACCAGAATGATTCTCAGGATGAGAATCAGCAACGATAGGAGTGTAGAAACACTAAAGTTGTCTTGGGTAGATTCTATTAATAAAATCTTACATATGTTCAATATCAATGAGGTAAAACCAATTAGCACCCCCTTAGGTAGTCACTGCAAAGTCTCTAAGATGTTATCACCTAACTCTGAAGTTGATCAAGCACAGATGGAGAAAAGTCTATATGCTTCACAATTAGAAGTTTGATGTACACATTGATCTGTATCAGACCAGATATTACATATGCAATGAGAGTGGTCAACATGTACATGAGAAATCTAAGCAAACATCATTGGGAAGTAGTAAGGTGGATTCTCAGGCATTTGAGGGGAATAGTTAACAGAGCAAGTTGTTATAAAAGTGCAGGGATCAGTCTACAGGATTTTGTGGATTTAAATTTGGCAGGAGATGACAATAATAGAGAAAACTACAAAATAGTATATCATTACAGTGGGGAACATAGTGGTGAGTTGGGTTTGCGGAAGATTGTTGCACTTTCAACTATGGAGATCGAATGTATTATTACCATTGAGGCTAGTAAGGAGATGATTTGATTACATAATTTTTGACAAAATAAGGCAAGGAGTAGGGGATAAAAAAACTTCACATTGATAGTATGAGTGCAATTCATCTTGCTATGAATGTTATTTTTCATACCAAAGCAAAACACATTCAGCTGGGGCATCATTTTATACGCTCTCTTCTGGAAGATGGAGCAGTTGTTCTTAGAGAAGATACATATCTTAGAATCATGCTGATATGATGATGAAGGTGGTGACTATTGAGAAACAGAAGCTTTGTTTGACTTTAATTGGATTTAATGAAGGTTGAAGCTAGGGGTGAGCCACACCACGGTACGTGACTATGAAGGTGTTGGATGCAATCAGTCTCTAAGTGGGAGATTGTTATAGTGCGGAGCCTGATTTGGAACACCACAATGGGAGACATAGCATGTTGGCACTCTCGCATCAAGCTTCGGGCGCTCTTGTGCCACAAGAAGCAGATTGGGCACTCCTGCACCCAATTTCGGGAGCTTTTTCTCCCACGTCTTATTTCTCTCGGGGACTCCAGGAGTTTCTTTCTTTAGCGACCGATGCTCTAGTGCCCACTTTTTGGACGCTCTTGCGTTGAGTGTTGTTATTTCCTTAATTTAATTTAAAGGGGGTAATTTCAAGAAATGAAAACAGATCGTTCCAGAGAGTGAGTTCTTAGACAAGTTCTTAGTGAAGGAGAAAAGTGTCAGAGATGAGAATTTCACCTGTGTTTTCTTTATCGGATCGAGAGAAAAAATTTGGAGCGAGTTGTTGTAAGCTTCTTTGATTGTAGAGGGGAAATCTGAGTAAGTTATATGTTAACTTTTGAAATTCATAGTGAAATTTTCTTGGTGGAGTGGCCACATAATTTTTTCCCGTTCTCGGGTTTTTCCATTTTAATTTTTGTGTGCCCTGGATTATCTTTGTTGTGCTTTTGTCAGTAAATTTGTTCTTGTTTTCTTGAATCTGTGTGAATCTATTCCGTGGTATAGTTTAAATTCCAATTGAATCTATGTCCTGGTAAAGTGTAAGGGGATTTTTCATCCCAACACAACCAAACAAAGCTTGAATGTCTTCTCAAATAAAGCCTGAGGGTTGTGCTAAAAAAGAAACACAGTGTAAATGTAACGCATTATATAAAGTTGTCTGGTTCAATGTAAAATAAATGAAGAATTTTATTTTTTTTTAATTTTTTGGTTTGGTTAGAAGGTAAATAAAATCAATGTAAAATACATGGTCGTCAATGGGGCGGGTTGTGATTGTCAGCGGCCATGGGCGTCGACGGCGACAACAAGCAATACCTTACACAAATGGCATATTTAGAATTTGTTTAAATCTAACAAAATCAGAATATATCAAAAATGAACTAGAGAATGAATTTCATATGCATTGTAATATTACACTGCATATGAAATTCACCTGATCAAACACTAAGATTTCTTGGACAATATTAAAATGAATACCATGCACACCTTTTGAAGCAAAGCAAAACAGCCTCTTAAAACAAGTCTCTATCCTAATAAAGTGAATTCTAACTCTTTATTTTAAATTATTTGGATTAACAAGGGATTTATTATATAGTTTGCTTGCAATTAAGATGGAATTTGACTTAATCACTGAATTAAAAATAAAAAAAAAAAGTGACAAATCACAAACATAAATCAAGAGACACCTAGATTTACATGAAAACCCATAGATGGATAAAATCAAAGGCCAGAAGAATAATTCACTATATAAAAATTAATGAGTTAATAGTGGATTGGTTGCTCTAATGACTTAAACCATTATAAGATAAATAAATAAATAAATAATTACATATAAGCATATGTATGTGTTGGTGTGAGTCCGCGGAAGAAGTAGAGTGGTTCTCTGGATTTGGACATGTTGGCTCAATCTTTTTGCTACCTCCACACATATCTCTATATATCATGAGAAAATATTATGTTTGGTAAACCGGACTTGCGGACGACGGATATGAAACTTTCTCAAATATCACATGTCTCACCGTAAAGTTTTAGATACAATAGAATTCGGATCACAATTTCTAATAGTTACTTCTTTAGTTATAATTGTATCTTGTGCTTGCTCACCATAAAAATGTGTAGGATAGCTTGCTACTTGTGTTTGAAATCTCATCTAACAAGTCTTGATGTCATAGCTGTAAACAATTCATGAAAAATCACTGATTGAAATTTAATTTTAAATGTGCATGAGATTTTACCATCTAATAAATATAATGTATGCCAAATATCTAATATTTTAATAAAAAAAATTTAAATTTAAATAATAATTGTTATATCTTATCGAATATCTTACTTCGAAGAAAGATTTAGTATCCATTAAAAAATAGAAAAAATTATACATACATAGCACCCAAATCTTATGGAGTTGCCTATCTCGTACCTAAGCTTTCATGTTTAGACACAGTGTTTTACCTATGAACGAAAATACTCGATTTGACTATTAAAAAGTGATAATGAGTGCTACTTTTTATATCATATTTGTTATTGTGAAAATGTAGGTGTGAGATATGTAAATATGAAAGTTTTGGGTGCTATGAATGTAAAAGCCCCAATAAAAAAATTTATTGAGATAAAAAATCCTAAATTTGAATAATAAAATCTTATATTTAATTAGAATATCTTTTATCATAGTCAAAACTTTATGTTTAACAAACATGACCATGACATAGATGAAAATTATTTGCAAAATGATTAAATTTTAAATGTGAATCTATTTCACGAATATAACGATGTTGTTTATTTAGCAATATTTTTACCTTTTTTAACTTGTGATGGAAACATATATCTACCTCTCTATTTATGGTTGCATCTTCCATGACATTATTAAATATATGAGGAAAATTTCGACCCATTGATCTAATCATTTTCTATAATAAAATTAATTCATTTTGAGATTTTTTTTTTTTCCACGGGTGGGAGGTTGAACAATGTTAGATATGTGAATACATGAGAATTGGATTGTGTTCGCCATGGATGTTAACACGCGTGCCTCCCTCGACCGCCAAGCTACCATCGTGGAGCGGAGTTCGTCGCCTTCATGATTGATGATGGAGAAATATTTGTGTACGGCTAACGTGCGTAGAGCTGCGTAAGTCGGAAGGTTACATGGAGGGTTGTATCCACGTTATACCCCCCGTAAACTCTCTGTAACCTACCCGTAACTTACAAATGTATGAAAACAGAAGCGCAAAACTTACAAGTTACAGATAATTTACAGGTAGATTACAGGAGGCATAACGCAGATATAGCCCTCCAATACCCTCCCTGTAACTTACCGACGTACGCAGCTCTGCATACATTAGACGCACGCAAATATTTCTCTTGATGATAAGAATTTGAACTGTGTTCATTCAGCTAGCTCTAATGACGACTGTATAAGATACGAAAAGAAGACGATAGAGGCCTAACAAAGTTCTTAGGGTGTAAATTAAATATTTCAGAATTTTCATATGTAATAAATATAATTTGAAGACCTCCATATGTGAAAAGCCCTTTTTCATACTTGTTTTTTTCAGAAAATTTGAGCACAATCGAATGAATCGAAATAAACCGAAAGCACAAGCAATCATATAATTCTTATATATGAAAATGAATTTAAGGAGTATTTACATACACACCACACAATTCTTATATATTTACATAACCTAAGCTTTAATATTTACATTTATAACACACAAATCTTTGACAACACATCAAAAATATCACTTATATTAACTCTTTAAAAGTCAAATTCACTTTTTTATGCATAAGTTTATAACACAAATGTGTTATAAATGTAAACGTCAAACTTTATGTATGTAAATTTCCCATAATTAATCATTTAACTTTCTTCGCATGCCGGAGGGGCTTAGTTTCAGGATTTGCTCTCTTTTTAGCCAAAGCTTTGATTCTACTCTCAGGCTCATCATCGTCATCGTCGTCACTGTCACCAAGTCCATTTTCTTCGGCTGGCTTCTCCTGTTCATAAATTTTAGCAGATTTCTTCTTGAAAGCATTTAGTTTCCCCTGTAATTTTTTTACCAGTGGATCTGCAGAAGATGTTGATCTGTCATTTGGTATAATTTTCATTCCTAAACCAACCCTGCAAAAGTAGCAAGTCCAAGGCACACATCAGATTGCATGGAAGGACAAGAATAACAATGTTAAAATGTTATGCAACATAAAAACAAAAGGAAGTTTCATATGCATTCCACTTAATTCCTGTGTATTTATATCTAGCACCTAAACTTTAAATATGCATAAAAGGATGTATTCCACTTTTAAAAGCTAAAATAGTGATGTTTTTTATGAGATATGAAAGATATTAGTGGCATAGATGTAAGATTGGAATGAAAGATGCTTGTGGCAAGTTAACATTAGCACCCTTGAATAGCTTATAATTTGCAATTTATGTGTTGTTTATATGTCTAATTTTCTGCATTCAGTTTTTGAGCACTGTAATTGAAAAAGCAAACCTTAACATTTAAGATTGGTGAAGAGTTTAAATAATGATAATGAAGAAAACGATGAAGATGGCGTCGATCTACAGTGTTCGGGGGCAAGGTCCTTACCTTCCGATGCGACCGACAAATTCCGGTTCATTTTCTTCAGCTGTCGATCCACTCATACTGCCCATCCACATTTCAGCCTTTAGAAAATAAAAATGATTTCAAAGCTTAATAAAACAGAATTATAAACTTAAATTTACGTTTAACGTTACATCAATTAGGCAAATAATAACAAAGTTTTCTAACCGTAAATCCATTGAAATGCCTCGCTTTATATTTTTTTATTTGAAAGAAAAACTATTTATTTTCTATGGAAGTGATCTAGTTTTCTCTGAAACAGCTTAGATGTGCATAATAGAAGTATCAAAAGATAATAGTTGAATATCAAAATCTAAACTGAACTGAGAAAAATTATAAAGTACATTTATATAGACTCCGTGGGGTTATTTGTGATTTCAATTAACAAATGTAGCATTACTCTTGATAATAACAGGAGCTCAAGTGTTTCTGTCGCTAAAAATTTTTTTGGAAAATTTACGTGTGGCACACAATTCTAACTATTTACACATCTCCCACCAAAATTATCCTCCACAAATATTGTAGAAGATTCCATACTTTTAACCGTCAGCTTAAATGTTAGATGTGCAAGAAACATTAGTTTTTTTCTGGTAAATGGACTTATAAATTTTTCTAACGGTTTTTTTTTCCAAGTAATATAAATTTTCTAGCTTTTTTTTTTTTCCAGTAATTTGAATACGTGGGAAAACTCGGAAAAAAAAAAAGAATCTGAAGTAATAAACCTAAGAAAAATTTCTCCCTTATAGGGTTGGTGATACCGGAGTAACGAAAAAAAAAGCAAATATGATTATAATTGTTCGAATTTAGAAAGAAACACAACAAGGGTTCATAAAACTAGAAATAAAATGACACGAATACAAACAGGACTCTAGGGCAAGGGCGAAGGAGATGAGCTCCGGCTGGACGGCATGTGTGGGGATTGTTTCAAAGGCCACAGCAGCAAATGGAGGGCAGAGAGGCTGCAGCAGCAGGGAAGGTGCAGGAGGGGCTTGGCGTCGGCAGGGAGGGATGGCTTTGGCGACAGCGGGACAGGCTCCTGCTGGACCGAAACACCTACTGAACCGGTTGGGCCGGTTTAGCCATGTCAAGCCCCGCATCAATCTCTCAAGATTGGGGAGAGTTTCGACATAATCCATCAAAGCTTTTGGGCCTTCATTGTACGGTTTGCGACATTCAAGGTGGCTAAAACATTGCAGTCCCTGGTGGGTCAACTTTTTAGTCATTATCATTCAGCTTGTGAGATATAGTGAAAGGTCTGTCTGTATGGTCTTGAGTTTTTTTAATGCTCCTACTAGTAATCTCTCTTTCTTCATTCGTATCCACACTAGATCTCCTTCCTACTGGCAATCACATTTTTCCATGTTTTGTTTGTCGATGCTTAGTATTTGTGATTTTGCTTAGTGATATCTTTTCTGACTTCCTTGTGGAGTTGTTGAATCTAGTTCACCCGTTAGTCGGCATCCTCAATAATCTCTGACATCGGCAGAAGCGGTACTAATTCGAGTGATGTGAACGGGTTTATCAAATCACTAGTTGTTGAATCGGCATCCTCAATAGTTGTTGAATCTGGTTCACCCATTCGTTGAGCAAGAATCAAATCACACGGCTTGATGTTTTTTCCCAATGAAGCATCTCAAAAGATTTCTAAGGCTCCTATTTACTAACTCCGTCTGACAAATCATATGGGGTTGCGTTGTCGAACTGAATTGAAGCTTAGTGCCTAGAAGTGACTCAAAAACTTAACATTCCTGTCTGATGTGATGGTCATAGGTATCTCGTACAGTCTCACAATCTCCCCGAAATGCAATTCGGTGACATGCAATGCATCTAATATATGGTGGCACGATACGAAATGTGTCATCTACGAGAATCGATCTACCACGACCATGATTGAATCATTGTTTCGTTGTGTCCTCGAAAATACCACCACAAAATCCATACTAACATCTACGGTGCCTCTGGTACTAGTAATGGAGAGTATAAACTTGCATTTTGTTCCCTGATTTTTGCCATAGGACAAATACCGCATTGTCTGACGTGTCGCTCCACATCTCTCGCTAATCAAGGCAAAAAAAGGTGTCATCTCACGAGTGTGATGGTCTTGTCCCTGCCAAAATACCCTGTGAGTTCTCCACTGTGGCTCTTCTAAATGATGGACAAACGCAAAGAACATCTAGGAATGCACAACTTACTTTGATAGAACAAGTACCCGTCAGCTCTATAGTACTACCTGGTAGGCTTCTCTTGACACTGCGACCTCGTTTGACTCTTTTACTACCTCAATGCCCACGACTCGCACCTGCATCACAGTGATAAGCAAGTGACGGTAGCTCAGCACATCTGCTACACGGTTCTGACTCTCTGTCTTATGCTTAAGCACGAATTGGAATGACAACAATAACTCCACCCAAGTTGTGTGTCGACCCTTCAATTTACTTTGGTTGTTCAAGAATTTCAGGGCTTCATGATCCATGAACAACGTGAGATCACTTGACAGCAGGTAATGGCTTTAGTACTCAAGAGCTCTCACAATAGAGATAAAACTCCTTATCATATGTCAAGTATTTCCTTTTAAAATCATTCACCTTCTCACTAAAAAATGTGATGGGGCTCATATCCACATGTCGGATGCATCACACTCTATCTCAAAAAGCTAGTTGAAGTTTGGTAGCGCCAAAAGTGTTGTCTGGGACCTTCTTCTTGGGTGCATTGAATCTATTCTGAGTTGTCTTTGACCACTAGAATTTGTCACCATTCAAAAGATTTGTCAAAAAGGTGGTGAAGATACTGAAGCTCCTAATGAATTGCTTGCACAACAACGCTAGTCCAAGAAAATACCTCAACTCGGTGAACGACTACAGTGCGGTCCAGCACACAATGATCTAATTTTTTGTTGGATTCAACTGAATGTCTGCACCAGACACAATATAACCCAAAAATCACATATGATTTGTTGTGAAGTGGCATTTCTTTGGATAAACATATAAATTATATGCTCACAAAACCTCAAACACCGCCCTCAGGTGTTGTAAGTGTTTTTTCCTCAGATCGGTTGTACACCACGATGTCGTCAAAGTAGAACACAAATTTCTCAATGTGAGTTCGGTATACCTGATTCATCAACCTCATAAAAATGTTGGGCACGTTTGACAAGTCGAAGGGCATAGCAATCCACTTGTATAAACTATCTCGTTTCTTAAAAGTCAACATCCACTTGTCTCCTGGCCTCATCTGGATCTGGAGAAACCCACTGCATTAGTCAATCTTAAGGAAGATTGTGGCTTCGTGTAATTGGTTCAAGAGATCATCCGGGAAAAGTATGGAAAACTAATTTTTAATGGCAATCTTGTTGATAGTCCTGTTGTCAATGCACACCTACCACAAACCGTCCTTTTTGGCTGACATTAGGGTAGAAACAGCACACAGACTAGTAGTCTCTCTGACCAACCCTCTCTCAACAAGATCATGTACATGTTCCTGCAACTCCTCGTACTCCACAGATCTTAATCTGTAAGCGGTCCGATTCGACAACATTGATCCTGATATGAGATCTATGGCGTGCAGAATGTCCCTCAATAGCAGTAATTCCTTAAGTAAACTATCGGTGATCACATCTTGAAAGTAATGTACTAGTGATTATAGTGGTGTTAATATCAATCTCCTCCTCGGTTCTCTATAAGACTAACGCCAGTGCCAGTGGAGGATCCCGAACTGACTGCATAGAGGTGAACCCTGAGACTAACACCTCCACTGTGTCGCCTACACCTCCTCTGCGTCACCTACACCTCCCACATCCTTAACAAGTAACGAAACGATGTGTTTCACATCCTTTTTAAAAGAACAAGTATTCTTGGAGTCGTTGTGTTGAGTGTTGCGGTCGAACTGTCAAAGCCTCCCCAACAGAATATGGCATGCGTTCATCTGAACCACATCGCACCACATTTGCTCATGCAACTGGTCCCTAAGTGAAAATACGACCAAGCATTATTGATCCACACGTATTTCATTTTCCTTCTTCAACAAGGTAAGGGAATCGGAATAACGATGTTTCTGCATGGACAATCCCAATTCCTTTACCACAACATTTTCACAACTCCTCTTATAGATGATCAACAGCAAACCTTATCATTTATCATACACTTGGTACGAAAGATATTGTGCCTCCATCAAGATTGATCTCGCTCCGGCTCTGACTGCAGAACTCTCTGTACGACTAACAACTCTCCCTCTTCACCCTGGAGTTGAAGCTCTTCATCTAGACTACCCTCTAACTCCTCCACCGCCTCCTCGACGATGACCTAATCTGTGAATGTGACAACTCAGCTCGTGAGACAGCTAGAGGTTGTGTTCGTAACCATGGCACCTGAAACACCTTCTCGTAGGTACTGTACTGGAAGAGCTACCCTTTTTCAGCTTCTTTCCACTCTAATTTGTCTTTCCACTTCTATGTCATGCCTTGCCAACTTCTCTTGAGGTACCCTTATGGATTATTGTAGTTATACGTGATTGTCTAACAAAAAGTTGCTGACTGAATGAAGATTGTTGTATGCTCTATTTTTGTTGCCTTTCCTAAAATTTGAACATCCCCCAGCTACTAGTTAGTTGTAACCGTACAACATTGCAAATAATGGCCTTCAGGCCCCGACCAACTCATACTTCATCTGCAACTGGTTGGATTGTGTTGTAAACTTTTCCACCAAAAGGCCTCTCTGTTGCAGGTGGTGGAGTCTCAGAAACATGGCCTGGCGGTAAAGAGTTGGAAGGTATTTCCTCTGCATCACTTTCTTCATATTTTCCTATTTGGTAAACTTATCACTGTCTTTTATTTTCCTTTGTCTCTGTAAATTTTCCCACCACAAAAAAAGCACACTTTTTCAACTTGATGGTTGCTAATTTCACCCACTTATCCCCCGGCACCTCCTAATATTCGAAGATTCGCTCAACAGATTGCAACTGGTCAATAAACTTATCTGGACCCATACCTACATCAAACTCTAGTAGGATCCATTTTGATGTCAAAGTCCATGTGTCATCCATATGTGGGCTCTTCTCTCGGCCTCTG